TAAAGTAAAATCAGGTCTACTTCTTCACAGACTATGTATTCTGAAAGGATAATATTGCTATTTCTTACTGGAATATGATATAATCTCGCTCTGAAGGGATCCTAATAAGAAATGAACAATATAAAAACACCATTCTTTTTGCAAATAATGTTCCAGTAAACGATGCCATTTCTACTTGAAACTCAGTGTGCCCTAAGCCTCTCCAGGCCCTATACCTCCATCCCTCCAGAAGCCGATCCATGCCAGGAATACTACAGTATTCCCCACTACAATAGAACTGTACCCAATTCATTCCTATATCAACCTCAATTTTTATTTATATGCCTAGAAGATTAAATGTGCTTAATAAATGGTTTCTGAGTAAATTTGGAAAAAACTGTCCCATAACAGCTTAAACCACACCTTTATCAAAACTAGAACCTTATATAAACATCAAAGCAGCAAAGTAAACATAAAGAAAATGTAGCTATGGAAAATAAATTTCTCCATTAATAAGTAAAATACAGAAAACAGATTTGGAAAATTAAAATTGAATGAACAGTATCAAACTTCAGAGTATTCTAAATCCTTCAGTCAATAATAGCGTAAGTGAGCAGCAATACAATGGCTGCCCCTTAATTACTTGGCATTACCAACATAGGCTTTTCTGTTTCCAAACCACTCATTTACTTTCTGGGCTAAGAGGAGAAAAAGAGTCCTTGCAAGTAACACAAGCACCTTACATGAATTCTCTTCCACAGGGAATGTAAGCTCCCCGGGGCCAGGAATCGCTCTCCTTACTGCCATCACCCTAATGTCTAGAATAACACCTGGACCACAGTGAGTATCACAGAGTGTTTGCAAAGGAATGAATACATGAATTTACTTTAAGAAGCCATGTTAGCTTTTATAAGAAAACACAAATTCAAACACTGTGATTTCTGGAAAGAAAACTCCCAAATACATCAGCAGTAAATTCCTTAGGGTTAGACTTGCATTCTATAATCCCCTAAATATAAGAATAAAAGTCATGTATGGCAAAGCTAAAAACTGGGAAACATTTAAGATTGCTCTAGCTCATCAGGTATATTATCATGAGACAATTGTTATAAATCCTCCAAGAATGTAAAACACAACCAGTGGAAACTGGCAACATCAAGTATTTGGTTAAAAAGACTTAACTCTGGAGTCACTGGAATGCTGTAAATTGTAGGATACATTTAAAATCAATAGCCACAGGAAACAAGGGGCTTCTGTCTTGTAAGTACTTTTTAGGGAAATAATAAAATCCTATTGTAGCATGCTTATCTTATATTAGAAGTCTAACATTTAAAAACCTATAATAATCTTACTTAGATGTTCTCTGAATGTACTTTCCTTTAATGATATAAGTGCAATTATACAATCAAATTTACATGCTCAGCCTATCTATGAATACATTATCTGAAAAACACTTTGGTTTTTAATTTGAGAGAGAACAAGCAGAGGAAGGGGGCAGAAGGAAAGAAAATCTTTTTTTTTTTTTTTTAATGTTTATTTATTTTGAGAAAGAGAGCGTGAACAGGGAAGGGGCAGGGAGAGCATCTTAAGCAGGCTCCACGTGCAGAGATCTGTGGAGATCTCTCAAACTGTGAGATCATGACCTGAGCCGAAGTTGGACGCTTAACCGACTAAGCCACCCAGACGCCCTCAGAGAGGCAATTTTTTAATCCGTAACCTCCCCCCTTCTTTGATGTTTTCATAGATCACTGAGTTCAAATAAATAACTCAAACGGGGAAATCTGAAATGTTAAGTTTTTTATATAGATAACATAAAATAAAAATACTTTTCATGTTATTCAGATGAGCTTAGTTTTACTATCAAAACAGCTTATTCTAGGTATTCCTTGAAGTTAACACTCCCCTTTTACTTTATTAATCTATCATTCCTTTCCCTTTGAGGACTAAGGTTAACCCAAGGCCCAACTCTGGTCCTCCTTGGGTTCCTAAAAAAGGTATAAAATAAGATAAAATAAAGGACCATAAAGGAAAATGAAGCACTGAGAAATTGAATGCCTAGAATTAGGTCATCTGACCTTCAATTCAGTGCACTTCTTTGACTTTTCCTTGGGTTCAGGTTTACCCTCTGTGTTAAAATAAACCTTACCAATTTGACTGATATTTTCCTGTGCTCTCGTCTCTGTGCATCCTGATTTCTTTCTAATGCAACTGCGTGAAATGGTTTTCCCAACTATTTCCCTCTGGATCATGTCATGCTATAGGCATTTCTGCCCCACTCCTGGAAAGCCCTGGCCTTCTAGGATATGCTGAGATCTCCATCTAGAGATCTTCATGCTCCTTGCCTCTTCAAGCATTTCAAGTATACATTTCCAGGGCGCCTGGGTGGCTCAGTCGGTTGAGCATCGACTTTGGCTCAGGTCATGATCTCACAGTTTGTGGGTTCAAGCCCCATGTTGGGTTCTGTGCTGACAGCAAGCTCAGAACCTGGAGCCTGCTTCAGATTCTGTATCTCCCTCTCTCTCTGACCCTCCCCTGCTCAAGCTGTCTCTCTCTCTCTCACACAAATAAATAAAAAACATTGAAAAAAAATTAAACTTCTGATTTAAAAAAAAATTATACATTTCCAAGTTAAAAATGAATGCTATCTAGGCCCAAGCAGTCTGTCCTGTATTATAAACTTTAAAATGCTCAGTATTCTACTTTTTAACACATACAATCTTGGCTTCCTTGAATTCTGGAAGAAGATACTGTGTCAAAGAGTCAAGTTTGACTGGCTTAGTGAGTTGGCACATTAATTCACTGGCCACTCCCGTTTGCCTTGACTTAACATGGAAATATAGCAAATCTTCTCTTTCAGGTAATGGAGGAAATATTAATGGAAACAACAAAGAAACCGAACAACAATCATAATAAACTAAAACAAAAGAAAAAGAAAACCCCAAACCTTTTGTTCTTAGCAGATGTACCAAAATGATTTGGGTTGTTTTCCTTAGCTTTGGCTCACAGATTAGGTAAGTAAGGTGACCATGGTCAAGCTGATGCCCAAACACACCAAAATAAATATTTTTATTAAGTCTCTATAAAACAATATGGTGTTTCAAATACATGCTTATTAATTAAGAAAACAAATAATTCCATTCATGAAGTCATTAAAAGAGTGACCAATGGTGACTATTTATAATTATTTAAGGTCAGATAAGTACAACAAAGGAAATGATAAGGCAATCATTTTGATGGATAGCAATTTTACTCTCTCCCTTCCATAATCCCTCTGAAGTGTTATCCCCACACTGCCAGTCTATGACAAGGAGGTGGCAAATGCTCAGAGTGATGGAGAAGTGTTAGGATGATGGACACGTCACCAGGTTGTCAGGAGACTTGGGAGAGTATGTATTAGTTCCACAGCCTAGAGAAGATGAGATGAGACAACTATCCAAAAAGTGATTTCATTTTTCACAGAAACCCCCAGAGATGTTTTCTTAACAGGCTTATGAGACTGAAGCCACAGTATACTCAATAAGAACGCACCAAGGTATGAAACATAAGTAATGTTTACATGAATTAAGTAAAATATGGTAAATGTTAAGAAAGGAACTGAATTTGAAAGAGGTAACAGATAATAAAAGGAAAAGTTATTTAATGATTGACTGGAGGTAAATTCCAAGGGAACAATGCAAATGGTTTTGTTTAAATATGAATTTGTATGAAACTGACTTTAAGATTTTGCTAAGCAAAACTGAAAGAATGCACCTTTTACATCAGTGTTTCTCATTAATTACATGTTTGATTACCAACTTCAAAAATACCGATTTTGGTTAACATGGATGTTGTAATTCCAGATAGCTATCCTTGCAAAACCCACAAAACTTTCCATCCTTCTCTCATTTGAGACCCTAAATCTTTTGGGGGAAGGAAGGGAGTTAAAGCACGAACTGCATATAAATATACTAAATTAAGCTGTGTAGGGAAGAGGCACCTGGGTAGGTCAATCAGTTAAGCGGCTAACAGACTCCTGATTGTGGCTCAGATGAAATCATGAGTCCTCCACGTACAACTCTATGCTGATGGCGTGAACCCTGCTTGGGATTCTCTCTCTGCCCCTCCCCTGCTTGTACTCATTCTCTTTTTCTCTCTCTCAAAATAAAGTCTAAAAAAAAAAAATTCTTAAATAATATGGTTTGTTAGAACCCAGCTCTCCTTACATATCTCTGCAGTGTTCTTTCCATTGCAATATATGCAATGCTCAGCTGATCACATAAGTTTTTGTATTCCCAAAGGCAAAAACTTGAACACTAGAACTGTCATAGAGAACATTTCTTCAAGTAAGTTGAAACAGGATTTAAGAATCTCTTAGTTGTACACAATGCTATTTTTAAATATTTTAACCAAAATAATTTTTTCATTTAAAAAATTTTTACTGTTTTATTTATTTCTGAGAGAGAGAGAGAGAGAGACAGCATGAGCAGGGGAGGATCAGAAAGAGAGTGAGATACAGAATCTGAAGCAGGCTCCAGGCTCTGAGATGGCTGTCAGCACAGAGCCCAACGTGGGGCTCAAACCCACGAACTGTGAGATCATGACCTGAGCTGAAGTCAGACGTTTAACCAACTGAGCCACCCAGGCACCCTAAAATAATTTTTTTTTAAGGTTTGTTTATTTTTGAGAGAGAGAAGGAGAGAAAGAGAGTGCGGGGGAGGGGCAGAGAGAGAGAGAGCGGGAGATACAGAATCTGACGCAGACTCCAGATTCCGAGTTGTCAGCACAGAGTCCAACATCAGGCTTGAACCCATAAACCATGAGATCATGACCTGAGTTGAGTTGGAGGCTTAACTGAATAAGCCATCTAAGCACCCCTAACCAAAGTAATTTTCAATTGAATTTATCTTATAAGTCTGATTATTTTAAAATTTTAATTTGAAAGTGATATTAGTATAGTAACTAGCTACTTAAGCTAATCAAGCTACTTAATTATATTATAGAATTTGAAAATATTTAAAGAAATGGGAGGGAAACAATTTTACCTTACTAAATTTTGCTGCATATATTCAACCTTCATTAAAACTTGGACCCCAGTCTGAGAGCGAATGTAGGCTTTCAACCTGAAATAAAAATGTCATATTGAAGGAAGAAAAACTGATTTTTAATATATTTCAAGACAGTATCTACAGAAGATTAAACATTTATGAGTAGGTAATAATATTTAAAATTCAACTATCCAAGCACAGAAAAGGGGTTAAAGATAGTTTCTAACCAAGGATCTGAATTTTAAAATATTACCTTTCTTGTCTCTGTACAATATGTTAATTTAAAAAATATCTATTTTAGTAAATTAAGTTAATCTTGTTATTTTTATTTATTTTTTAAAAATGTATCCAATTTAGTGACAAGTGCTTTGTCTCACTCCAAACATATGACCAATGAGGACAACTGGATTATCAATAAAAAGAAGTAAAGAAATACACTATTATACATGTTTCAAAGACACTGCTTGATATGGGACATGATTCTGGTTCAGCCTGGGCACAACCTTTTCTTGGCACCAAAAGATGAGATTTAATTAGAATTGGGTCAGACATTTTAAAATCCACTCAGTCTAAAATTTAAACACTAGGTTACTCTGGAACCAAACCAAGCAGGTATCCCAAGCAGGAATCATCTGGAGAAAAGAAAGTCAACTGGGTTCCTGCTCAGGAAAACTAATTTACACTCACTCTAATAAGAGTTTCCTTTTTTTAGTGCTGGCTACTGTGTGTTAGACCCTGTACTAGTAACTTTATACATATGTTTTTTTTGTTTTTTACTTTCAAATAACCTTATCGAGTGGAGAAAATTAAGGTCCGTAAATCAGGTAACTTATTCCTGATCACACAGCTAAAAAGGGACAGAGCTGGCTATTCTAGCCCAGATATAACCATTTGTGTCTACGCTGCATTTCTGGAGACGAGGCAGATGTATCTTAATTATTTTTATGAAGATGTGGCTAAAACAGATTTCTCCTGTCTTTTATAAGAGTTACTTGGAAACTCTTAATTTCAGAGTTTGATTCAATTTTCAAGAGGTGTGATTTAATAAGGGTTAAGAGTGCAGACTCTGACTCTAGACCGGCTGGGTTTAAATTCCAGCATCCCTGCTTATTTGCAGTATGAAGTCATTAAACCACTTTGAGGTTTAGTTTCTCCATCTGTGAAATGGGCATATTAGCAGTAATGTGCCTTAAAGGGTTATTGTGAGGATTAAATTAACTTACACATTTTTTATTATCTGCTTCAACTAGTATCTAGAAAACAGTACATACTAAGTGTTAAGAACTATTTTTGTGACTATCCAAAAGCATCATCTGTGACTAAAAAAGCCTGAATAAATACTAAGGAATGACACAGAAAGTAAACTGCACTGGCATGTCACATTCTAATAGTGTCATGGCTTCACATATTCACATAATCAATACTTCAACATTTTTAATAACTTCAGAAAATTACAAGATTTTTGAAACATACCTTTGACGAATTACAGGATCAGCTTTTTCAGGATCAATGTAAGGTTTTAGGATTTCATTAATAGTTTTATCATCTGGTACTCTTCCCAATAAAAACAAAAAAAAAACAAAAACAAGACTTAATTTATTATTTGTAACTTTCTACTAAAGGCGTTAACTTAGAATTGCTAAATCTTGTGACTTTTTTGTTTAAATAACTGAACACAGACCTTTTGTCTTACTCTTGGCAAAATATAACATCGTTTTAAGCAAAAATTTCTTACGAAAAAAGCTCAAAAAGGCTTCTTGGACACACTTAATAAAGTCCTAAAAAGCAATATTTTGAGAAGCTCCCTATAAATCAATTATAAAAACACGAAGCCTCTTTTAACACACACCTGTGCTCAAAGATGGAATGAATAAATTCAGGATGAAATATATTTGAAAGCTGCAGAAATGAAAAATTTGAAAAAACGTTTCAGATGATGCTAATTTCAGTGCATGTTCAGATTTATTTATTCTAAATCTTAAGACCAGGGTAAAAAAAATTTATACTACTCTCCCTGGAAACAACATATTTCAAGTTTTTTCAACTTTCCTGTAAGTATGCACAGTATTTTGAACTATAAAGCTACACAAAGAAAATTAAGACACTTTGAATGTGTACCTTTCCTCAATCATTTATACTTTTTCATATATACCAATGTGCTACGTAACTCTACTGATAAAATTGAAGTTCTTTCCCTGATTTTAGTCTGGTATACAACTTCAAATAAGGAAATTCTTCACTAAAATCCATAGGACAGTTACAGAGAGGACACGTGATGCAAAATGTGGATATATATGCTCAATATATTACTTAGAAAGCAACTGGACAATTTTCCTAAGGAACCAAATAGTACACAGCCTTTAAAATGTTTAAATGGCACTTAAAAATGTACAAATATGAAAAACGTAGAAAAAGTTGTTTATGCAAATTAATTCCAATTTTGAGGATACACCCATATACATATGTCCAAGATAATGTATTTTTGAGGGATACACCATAATGTTAATAGCAGTTAATCTTTGCATAGTAGAATTCTGGGTCATTTTCATTTGTTCTACAACCATTCAACCTAAGAAACAAAGTTTTCAGCCCTCTTGTGTCTCCTTGCATTTTTCTCCTATGTCTACATCCCCTGCTGAAGGAAACACCATCATGATTCTGTGCTCATCATTTCCCTTAGAGTTTTACCACCTCTGCAGTTATTCTTAAAGACTACACTGTTTTATACTTAGACATAGAATCACACTCTATGCATTCTTCCTTCATTTGCTCTTCTCATTCAACATTATTTCTAAGATTCAACCATGTTGATGTAGCTGTAGCTCCTTCATTTTCAATAGTATTGAGCATTTCACTGAATCAAGATACCAACAACTGAGTTATCCATTCTGCTACTGACATTCATTTGCTGCTATCACATTTAAGTTAACAGTTTATTTTAAATACAAAAACACAATAAAAACAAAGGAGTTCTTAATAAATAGTGGTAGTACTGTACCTTTTTTCTATGTACACAGCTTGACTCTGAGGAAACTGGAGCTTCACATGCCAACAAAACTGTTGTTTTCTAAATCAGAAAATAATCATCTGAGGATCAAGGTAGATAATAAAAGTCTGCACACAAACCAAACCTCCTGAACTTTCATTTTCAGATAATAATTTGAAAAGTATTCTTAGAATTTAATGTATCTTTTCTACTCTCTTCTCTAGAGTTTTAGAGTCTATGTTTTTTAAACAATATATTTGCAAGGATCTTTAAAAGGAAAACAAAATTAAGTGCAGCAGTTCTGAATTACAAGGATTTTACATTCCTGAATTAGAAGGCAATTCCTCACAGCTCATGGGCTTTTGAGATCAGTGTGCTACTACTTGATGTTTACAAATAAATCTGCTCGTGACCAAAAATGATGAGCTGATGTCTTTTCCTGACTTGTCTGGAAATTAGGTGAACGAAGTGTTGTCCGGTTGTGACCAGCTGGCTGCAGATACACTTCTTAGCCATGAGTACGTGCCTTCAGTAGCAAAACAGTAGACAACAAGTTGGTTGCTAAGCAGAACGCATCTGAGCTAGATTCCCTTCGCTTCCAGGTCTAAACTTTGGTTTGATACATGATCAACAGTAATAATTCACTAAATGTCTAATTTTAGAATAACCATATTCTATTTAACATATCTAAGTCTGGTAATATTATATATCATTCCTTCTTTTAAAAAGTTAATGGGTCAAAGTATTGAATCCAATACAGAAATTTAAATGTTTTCACCATATGATGGTTTTTACAGGTTTTCTTTATTTAGGAGAAATTTCTAACAACCCACTGGCAAGTTAATGGCCAGCAGCAGGCCCAAGCAAATGGCCAGCATCACTTTAATCTACCCCTTAGCAGCCTGGCTCCAAAATCTCAAATAGTTTTATTTTAATACAGTCTAGTAAAATATCTCCCACCAAACATTCATATCATTTAGTCAAATTTCTGTCAGAAGACAATAACCATAAAATCAAGTAAAAACCTTAGGGTAAGTTATCACAGAACTGCTTATGCAACTTTTCTTTAGTAACAAGACAGTTTTTGGCATTAGCTAGAAAAAATATGCTTGATTATGCTTATGTTGAGAGTGCCACTTACCATATAAGAAACATTCATGTTAATATGTATTTTTTTGATAGAACAAAGGCATAAAGCACCCTTTACTAATTTAAAGACCAGATGTCTAAAATCTCAGAGGAAGAAATCTTAAAAAAATCTGAATGCAAATGCAAGTTAATGGTTTTAAATAAACAATTCTTCCAAAACAAAACACCCTTGCAACGTTCATTATCAGTGAAAGAGTCAGAGCATCAAGAGGCTCAGAGGCAGCACGAGGGTGGCTCAGTCAGTTTAACAACTGACTCCTAATTTCAGCTCGGGTCAGGATCTCACTGTTTGTAGGATGGAGGCCCTGCAATGTGATTCTCTCTCTCACTCCCTCTCTTTCTCTCTGCCCCTCCCCTGCTTGTGTGTGCTCTTTCTCTTTCAAAATAAACATTAAAAAAAAAAGGGTGAGACTCAGAGATCCTATATTTCTTAGTAAGAAATAAACTGTTTTTCAAATCCTGATATATAATATGGTTTCTTTCTAAATATATTTGTTTTTTCCATGTTAAGTTACAGGGGGGAAAAGATTATGAACCTGTCATCTTGTGGAATTCTAAATCATATTAAATTACCCCAATCATTGCTTGAGTAATTTCAAGAACCATTTATCTTCCTTAACACTCAGTAGACCCTAAATACCATCAGAAAGTACTTAACATTCCAAAAACAAAGGGAGAAAAGCTCTTGGAAATTGTTTTGCTATAGTTAACTAGTTGTGGTTGTAAGGAAGTCATTCACTACTATTTTATTATATACACATTGCTAAATTATTTGGCCTCAGTTCAAACATGAACAAATTTGAAAAGTACATTTACTTTTTAAAAGATGTGATTTTGCAATATTTCAAAAACAAAGAAAAGGAGAGTATAAAGAACAATGCACCCATACTCAAGATTTAACCAACTTGCAAACTGGCATATTTGTTTGAAATTCTTTTTCTTTTAAGAAATGAAAGGTTATTGGGGCGCCTGGGTGGCTCATTCGGTTAAGTGTCCAACTTCAGCTCAGGTCATGATCTCACGGTTCGTGGGTTCGAGCCCCGTGTCGGGCTCTGTGCTGACTGCCAGCTCAGAGCCTGAAGCCTGCTTCAGGTTCTGTGATTCCCTCTGACTCTCCTCTGCTCATGCTGTCTCTATCTCTCTCTCAAAAATAAATAAAACATTGAAAAAAAATTTTAAATAATATTTAAAAAAGATATAAAAGGTTATTGAAATAGTTGATGATCCAACTTGTTGCTGTTCCTTGATGTCATTCCCTTCCCATTCATCATCAGAGGTAGGTACTATCCTGAGGTTGTGTGTATATTCTTACCATCCATGGTTTTATATTATATATATATATATACACATGCACACATATATGCATACACCTATAAACAATATAGTATTTTGTGTAATATTAACATTTACTTCAAAGTTACCATACTCTAATATCCTATGCCTTGCTTTTCATTTACATTATGCTTTAGGTTTACTTATAATACATGCAGTTAGTTCATTAATTTAAGCTACTACAGTCTTTCATTTTGTGAAAAATGCCAAAATCTTTTTATTCATTCTCTACTGATAGACATCATGATTGCTTCCAATATTTTACCATTTGTTCTTCCATATTAAAGTACAGTAAAGAAAAAATAACACTATCCCTAGAAATGGGTCTATCATTTACCCTCAACTGGCACATAGAATGAAATTAGCTTCATTGAAAACCTGTACTTTTTAACTCTATGGTTAAAAGGCATTTGCAAACAGTAATTCAGGACAGAAGATTTAAGTGAACAAATGCACAAAGACAGGTTGAAGGGTATTGTATAAAGAATTCCTGAAATGGGTGAGTTAATTAATCTCTAAAGTAGTTGCCAATTCTTCAGTGTTGTTGAAACTAATGAAGTCCTGACTGGGCAATCAAATCTCTTCCTAACTCTCAAGGAATTAAGTTTTTAATTTTAATTCCACTGTAGTTGACATACAGCGTTCTATTAATTTCAGGTGTACAATATAGTGATTCATTAAGTCTATTTATGACTCAGTGCTCATCATCTATTTCACCCCTCTCCCCACCCCAACCACCTCCCCTCTGGGAACCATCAGTTTGTTCTTCAAAGAAATAAGTTTGTTTCCCACTTTTCATAATTATATATAGCGATACATGCCCCACTTACAAAAATACACATACACCAAAATTTCAACATTATTTCTGAGGCGCATTATGGATAATTTTGTATGGTTTTTGTTTGTATTACTAAGTTTTATAAAAGAACATACTTTATAAAGGGAAAAAGCTAGTAATGCTTTAGTGAGTATCTTTATGCATGCATACCCCCACCCCCTCCATACAATTATTTTTGTATTTTGGACTATTTTATGAAGACACAATGTAAGGAGTAGAATTATGGGATAAACCAGGGTTTCGTAACCTAGGCAGTACTGACATTTTGGACCAGATAATTCTTTGTTATGGTGGGTAAGGTAATGGGGGGCAGGGGAGGCACGATTCTGTGTAGGATATTTACCAGCACTCCAGGCCTTGACAAAGGAGATGCCACTAGCAATACTCACTCCTTCGGTTGTGACACCCAAAGATGTTTTCAATTATTGCAAATGTCCTCTGGGAGGCAAAAATCACTACCAATGAGAATCACTGAGATAGAGGTTTAAACATTTACTATTATTCTTACTATATTAAGACTACTGTTCCCTAAATTAAACAAAATACCTTTAACTATGTCACTGTACCTGAATATTCTAGGGAACTTAGGCACCTCATGGCACTGTTTGATAACAGACTGGTGAAGTAATGGTGGCAATTACTAAATCTAATGTTCCCCTATAGACCACCTGAAAAAGTAAGATAACAGTGACCTGAGTCCCATGAAACGAAAGCAATTACTCATGCATAGCAAAGCTTTTTCTCCTACCCCCCTCAATCATGCATTCTTAATGGGAGCAGCACCACCCCAAAAAGGGTAAAAATTTGTTCTTGGGAGGGTTAAAAAAAAATCTTAAACATTACAATGGTTTGTGGCTCTCCAAAGGGCCACTGTACATAAACAAAAACACAATATATCTACAGTATCAAAATACCATGGAGGAGCAATTAGAAGGAAAATGTCTAAAAGGGTGCCTTGGGAGGCATTAAAAAAAAAAGTTGAGAAACACATGCATTAAGAAAGGAAAATAAATGTTATTTTATACTTGGTTTTAACAGGTTAATATGGGGCACTTACAGGTTAATATGGGGCACTTACTTAAGAGCTAATGTTTATTAGAATTTAGGATCATTCTCTCCCAGTTTCAAGAAAGTAATATGTGGATGATAACACAAACTTATGAGGGGAGGGAAGTTCTATACCCATATCCTCAATTATTCTTCTGACCTCCATGACTTAAAGTGGCTAATTTTCATCTCTGGAGTGCTACCACAATTCCAAGGAAGAAGGGGAGAAAACAAAGGCATCCGATCCTTTTAAATGGCACTGATCTCTTGATATAATAAGACTTTCAAGCTCATTTATAACCAAAGAAATGCAAACAGAAATGAAATATTTTCACTTATCAGATTTACAAAGACACTGTTAAAATCAGAAATATTAGGGAAGCATGGTGAAATGAACACTTTCCATTGTTGACAGGAATATAAACTGGTGTGAGCTTCTGGCAATTCAAGTTCATAAAGACAATAAATACATATTCATAATGAAAAAATAAACATATTTTTGCCTCAACAGTTTTATTTCCAGGAATTTATTCCAAGGAAATAACTGGACAGGTAATGACATATGCTCCTGTCCACTGTGCTACTCTTTGTAAGAGGGAAAAAAAATCTAAATGGATATTATAAAAAACTGATTAGTAAATCTACATAATGAATGAAAATGACACAGAACTCTATGTACTGAGATAGAAAAGTCTATGTGTTGAATGATGGCATT